TGCATCTAAGGCAGATTTGACATAAAAAACATGTCCCAATTAAATATTCCCTTGAAACAATATCTTGTTCATCCATCCCTGGCCAAACAAAATTTGAAAAATAATTATTATAATTAGCAATTATTCAAAAGATTTCATTGGAAAAACATTATCACCAGTCTTTTCTTACTATGTTTTATATTTGACCACACTTGAAATTTTGATATAATATGTTATAGATGCTAATTAAAGAGAGTTTACAAAAAAATTAGAAATAGTGTTGCTAATTTTGGGAAATTTCAAAAAAGTTCAATTGAAAAGAAACAATAAATACTCACTTTTCACTAAATATTTTACACTTGAAATTTTGATATATTTTATTGTATATACTAATTAGGAAAAGTTCACAAAAAATAGGTAGTTTTAGGGAGGGATCAATGAAATTTCAAAAAATTTCAATTGAAAATAAAATATATATATATATATATATAATTTTTCTTATTTTTCACTAAATATTTTATATTCAACCACTTGAGATTTCGATATATTATATTATAAACTTTAATTAGGAAAAGTTCATTAAAAAACTGAATTAAAAAATATTAAAATTAATAGTTTTATAATATTTATCATTCGCGACAATAAAATTTTTGTAAAAAAAATCATGGGTCACACAGATCTGCAAAAATCAACTATTTTGCAATCAAATGCTTACCTATCCACCTGTTTGTTTGTCATGAATTAAACTTTCATTTTTAAATTTTTTCTTGTTCAAACTTTCACATCAAACTTTCCATCATATCTTTCCTTCCATTCCACCTATCCATTTGTTTCCTTCATCCCTTATCATGGGATTAATTTGGCTAATGATGCATTAAAGAATATTCTTTTAAAAGAACACGTTTGGATGGTTTGGATGAAGATACACCACTTTTTAAATTCTGGAAGGATGTTCAGAATGTTGAAATTGACAAAAAAATAATTTATCTAACAGAAGGTGTTTACTTGTTGGGTAAAATAGAACAAGGATCAAATATTTTTGTTCATCAGTGTTATATTGATCTCTCCAAGATGATTTTTGACAGTGATAAATTGGAAAATTTTTGCATTATAGGAACTCCAGGAATTGGAAAGACATTTTTTATTCACTACCTGCTTATCCAATTGATAAAAAAGGAGATGAGTGTAGTGTATGATCAAATTAATCAGAGCTCAATCTTCTTTCATCAGGAGAACATATTTCAAGGAACATTGGATCTGTTTCAGGGTGAATTAGATAAGTCTGATGTTTGGTACCTTGTTGATGGACACCATCCAAGAAACTGTGAAGCCAAAACTATTCTTGCAACTTCACCACAAAAAGAGAACTATTGAAACTTTCAGAAGTGGGCTGGAACAAGAAAACATTTTATGCCAGTGTGGACTTGGGATGAAATATCTGCATGTATTTCTAAAAATGTTCATGATGGTTCAACGGAGAACCTGGATGTTACTTCCAAAATTTTATGTCCCAAAGTTGACTATGGAAAAGCTAAAAAATTGTTTGGAATGCAGGGAGGTATACCATGAATTGTTTTGCAAGATGCAAGCACAAAAACTGTAAATGTGATAAATCAAGAAATGGAAGGTGCAATCAGAATTTGTGATCTTGATATGATAGTAAAAATAATTGGAGATGTGGTTGATCCTAAGCTTGAAATTAACAATAAGATTGTGCATATATACAATAATGTTCCTGATGAAGAACAAGATAATGTAGATAATAATACTATGGATGGTGTAAAGAACTTGATGATTCATTATTTCCACCATATGCCCAGCAATTGGTACACTTTGCATCAACATATGTAAGTGAAAAGGTTATAAATTGTTATGAGGAGGAAAAAAGGGACCAGCTGTATAGTTTTTTACCAGTAAGCAAAGATCAAATGGGATATGAAACTTTGCAAGGAAACAAATTTGAGGTAGTTGCACAGAATTTTGTGAACTGGTGGAAACTTTGCAACATGTTGTCTGGAAAATGAAAATGGTGAAATAAAAATAGAGAAATTCCCTAGACTTGAAAATAAAACCTTCCAATCAATAGATGATATTAATACACATAATGAATACTATCAACCACAACAAAAATTTCTCCTCAGTGGATTCATTGGTTTTACCAAATATGCTGTTTCAGATGACTATTAATCAGCATCATGGTATCAAGTCAAGGAATTGGTTGATCTTAAAAATATACTTGATATCACAAAGGAAATCAAATTTTACTTTGTTATGCCACCAGGATGTTTTGATGGAATGAAAAAGCAACCATTTCATGCCAGAAAAGGGGAAGATTAAAAAAAACTACCATCCTGGATTAAGAATAAAGTAAAGCAATATGTTTTCAAGGTTAACTTGGCATATAATTATAAATCTTAAAATCAGTGGTATGAAATAATAGATAAAATGGATAGACTATTGTTGTTTGGAAGAAAATTCTTTTAGTTATTATAAAAATGCAATTCTCTTTTAATTCTATCAAAAAACCCTTTTTATTATCTATCATAAAATTGCTGCACTTTGTTTATTTTTTTTCTAAGATTATCTCTGAATTAGAGATTATGAAAAAGAAAGAAATGGCCAACAATCTGAGAAAATTCCAATTAAAGATGCAATTAAATTTACAGCAAAAGCTTGGGAAAGAGTTACTAGTCAAACTATAATTAACTGTTGGAAAAAAACTGGTATTTTACCTGATGTTAATAATAATTCCAATGAAATTGAAAATGCAACATCAATTTTAAATACATCAAATGTAAAAGAAGTTAATGATTTACAGAATTTAATTGATAAACTTCCCCACATTAATCCTATATCTGCATCTGAATACATTACAATTGATGATACTGAAAAGGAACATGAAATAGATATAGATGAACAAGAAATAATTTTAATGATTACTCAAAATGAGCAAATCAAGAAGAAGAAGAAGCCATTGAAGAATTTCCACCTGTTTCAAATAAAGAATCTTTATTAGCAATAGAAAAATTAAACACATACATTGACCAACAATCTGAAAAGTTGCAACTAAGCAACAATGAAATTAAACCATTAAAAAGTCTTAAAAGAAAAATAAACAACATTAGATACCTTTTTTAATTAATTTGTTATTTTTGCAAAACAATTATATATATATTATTTATTTTATTTTTAATTTGCAAAACGGTTATATTTTTTTTTATATATATATTATTTTAAAATTTTTTTTAAATAAAGTTTATCCATGTGATGATCTACCAATTTCCTATAATGAACTTTTTTAGCCCAGCCCAAAAATTCGTTATAGAGAGAGTGTACTGTATGTAGCCATGAGCAGAGTGCCTTCTTGGGATTTGCTTGAGACCTTAGATTTCGACTCTTCTCATATAAAAACTGATCAATCTGTGATCCAGGAGTATACAAGATTGAAAAATGTAAACCAAAGATGTCTTGGTGAATTAATATATATTAAAATTAAAGATGAGAATCTCAGATTATTTTTTTTGTATTACATAAATATTATTAATAAAGTTCCACAAAAAATTCAAAAAAAAAAAAGATTTTTTTCAATTAATCAATCTAATTGCTTACAAAGTTTTTTTCATTCCACTATGTGTGTTTCAGACTATTTTGATATAACACTACCTAATCAGTATAGTTTTCTTGGATATTATCAATATTGTATTAAACAAACTGACTTTACATTTTCATTTCAAAAGGAAGCAAATACTTTAAGAAAAAATCTGGAAACAATTTTGAATAATAGTAGTAACTCAGAAATAATTAAAAGCATCAAAAGTCTAAAAGAAACTTTTAAGGTAAGTACAAACATCAATATTTTAGTGGCAGGATGCTCACTTTCCAAGACTGAGAAATTGGGTTAGACTTTTTTGTGGAATCCTTTTTTTTTTTGTAATTACAACTGGCAAGGCAGTATAGAAGGTTCACAGAGCCTGAGGCTCACACAACTACAGTGGGCTTCTTGCACATGGCCTGCTTTATGATCTTGCGTGTTCGTTGTGGTCTACAGAAAAGTAGTATGTATGTGAAACTTCTAGTAGTTCTAGGAACTCCAACAACTATGGCAGGCTTCTTGTGCGTGGCCTGCTTTATGATCTTGCATGTTCGTTGTTGTCTGCTTTGCTAGTGGCTTTTTTTTGTAATATTTATAACATTCATGTTCTTTGTAGAATCACCAAGCTAGATTCCAGGAAGTTGACAAATTCTGGAACAACATTGAAAATGAATATTTACATGAAAAACTTAGTATAGAGGAGAAGGAATTGCAGTTAGATGAGGTAAACATTTTATTCTTGTTACTATTTAGATTGATATGAACATTGGATTCTAGTTGGAAATAGCTCATGTGATAACTCGAGGGGCTTCAAAAGCAACTGCAACAGTAATGGAAAACATTGATGCAAAGCTGGTATGATTTAATTTCTATATAGTATATATAGTTTGTGAGTAGAATAATCAATTTAATAATTATGTTTTGTTACTTTGGCAGAAATTTAATCAAAAACATAGTTTACCTGATACATCTAAACCTACTGATGGAATCAAAAATGGAACTGTTAAAAAGGTTAGGTCCAGAATAAATACATGTTTAGCCTGCAGAAATGCTTTAAGCATTCCCTATTTTTTTTGGATGTGGCAGATCAAAACAATCCAAGAGCCATCTGCTTCCATAAATTGTGACAACGAAACTGAGGAAGAAGATGAACAAATTGAAATGGATCTTGCAAGTATTAGGAAACAGTTAGAGATGGAGCCACTTATTGAGGTACGTAGTAGGTTGAATGAACCTGAAAAAAAACCACAATGAAACTGAACTTTTCTACCACATTTTTAATGCTATTTACATGCTTAAGTGGGAGGTTCGTAATATAAACATCACACAGAAGTTTCATGAGTATCAGCGAAGTGTTATTGACAAAACAATGAAGTATGGATTAAAGTGGAGTGACTCATATGAGATTTTGTAAGTATTATGAGACAATGTAGAACCGAAGAGTAAGATTGCATTTTTACTATTCTAAATAAATTTATCCTTTATATTGTGCTTTAGGGCACTCGCATCGGTCATTGTCCTTTCTTGGCCATGTCTGTATTCAAAATTTTTTACCAACCGCAAATGGGACCAAATAATTTGAACTAAAGACTAGTGCTGTAAATTATGATGATGGTAGTAATTGTATTTACAGCATATAAAAAGTGGTTGTAATTACCTTTGCAACCACTTTTGCAAACAATACTTTTTCCTTTTTTGGATTACAGCACTAGTCTTTAATTCGAACAAATCCATATGTGATCCAATATCCTATAATACCATCATCCACCTCAAATATTCTTCATGAAGCAGCAATAATGCATTTAATGGGAAAGGAAAGTTATATGCAACTCGATAAATCAGAATTGAGTAAAGCTGTTGCTCACACATTTAATGATTTGTATGTTGACTTCTATTTCATCTTTGTCAGTAATTGGGAGAGAAAGTTTAAAGGTTATATTAATTTTTTAACATATTATAGATGTGATATTCTCCAGTCAAAACTTCTGAAGAATTGCACTGTGATCAATTGTTATATCCCTATATAAACTCTTTGTTTTTTGGATGACTTGCAGAATATGAAGTTTGACTTAATCGTACAGTAAGTGGCACACAAAAACGTCCCGACTTCTCTTGTGTTGTCAATAATGTACCAATACTTAACTCTGAGATCAAACCACATCAGGAAATTTTTTCTGACGCAAATTTACGTAATATTATGGGGCTCGCCATAAACTTACATAAATAGTGTAATATTATGCAAAAATTGCACAAAAATTACGCAATTATTACATTCAGTGTAAATATTACATCCTTTTTATGTGAAATATTACAACATTTCATATTAAAACTTACAGATGTAATATTACGGCAGGAAAAGTTTCCTGATGCACTTGGAGTAACACCGTTTAAAAGGAAGAAAGATTTCACAAAAGTACATTTAAGAGCAAAAAAGTCAATAAATCAACAACTGAACTCAATAGGTGGTCCCAGTGAAGCAGGATTGTTAACAAATATGGGTATACAATAAATTGTTAACTTTTATTTATACATGTCTTCTAAATCTAACACATTTATATGCTCTAGGTGATGAAGTCGAATCTTTTTTTATGGAATTCAGATCCAGATTATACTGTTCTTGGTCCTTTCTTAAAACTAGATTACTAATCGATAAGGCATCAATGCCATTAATAGAATCAAATTTTTGCCACTTTGTAGCATTAGAGGTATACAATGTTTGTCCTATTTCAATTATCATTTTAATTTATAATGGAAATCCATTAAGTTTATGTCAAACTTTTCTCACTTACAGAAACAAATAAATAAACTTGCTGAGGATTTTAAAAGATGCAGTGAAGAATTTACACCACCTCTACAAATGCAATTTGTATTAGTAATTGCCCAAAGATCCAGGAATTACACAAATTTCCCCACTAGGGGAAATTTTGTGTGATTTCAGATTTTCGGGTAACTACTGTAGCAATTACTTTAGAATAAGCTAGAACTTCCTCCAATTGCTCATCAGAAGGAATTAAAAATCTTTCACTATATGGCTAAATTGAAATATCAATTATTTAATAAACTCATATATTTTTAAACCCATTTGTTTTTGCTATTTATACCTTGTTATCATCTAAAGCTTGATACTATTTATTTTACATTAACAATTTTTTTTTGAAAATGAGTAAGCCATGTATGAATTTTTAAAATGAAAATTTATATAGTGGTTTTCATATAATACCTTATCATCAAAATCTTCAATTTCTTGACTATTATCTTGCTGTATTCAATTTTAAAAGGTTAATGAACAAATAAAACGTGAAATAAATAAATAAAATATGCAACACTATTTTTTTATTATTATAGTACCTCATTCTCTTCCATTGATTGCATCTCCTGTTGTTGTTCAAGTTACAAATGATAATAAATAATTACGAACCAACACGAATAGAATATAAATTACTATTTTTTAGGTAGTACCTCGTCAGAATCTGTCTCAATATAAGTTGGATCTTGGTGTTCATCCCCTTCTTCCTGTGTTTATATTTACAAAAAAAATTTTTTTTATTGTTATAAAATATATAAACACGTAAATAGAACTGTTTTCCTTAGTACCTCGACACTATATAAATTAAATTGGTGATCCATTTTTTGGAATTGAAGAAATTGAAAATATGCTTTTTTTTGAATTTATTACCTATTTATCCTGATTGGTGACACTGTGAATCGGGGAATTACACAGAGAAATCTACAAATACATGGATTAAATCATTCAAGGAGTTCAGGAAAATGGCCAATTTTGTTGGTGAAATCAAAGATATTAAGGACGAAAAACAATTGGTAAATGAGTTAAGAAAATTCATGGTAGGTGTGAAAAGGAGAGATGGAAAAAATTATGCACCTAGATCTCTTTATGTAGGTGTTTGTGCTGTAATAAGAGGTTTACAACAAGAAATACCCACACTTGCTGAAAATCTACATGACAGAAACAAGAATTTTATATTATGGAATACTATATCAGGCAGAATAAAGCAAGTCCAAGATACAGATAATAGGAAAAGAAAAAAGTCAGACGCACTTGATACTGAGGAGATTATTCAAATTCTAGGTCATCCATCAATGAATTTGGATGATCCAACCTCACTAACAAAGAAAGTAGCATTCTGGTTATCTTACTTGTGTGGATTTTGAGGAGGTGATCTCCAAAGATTGAAGACTTCGTGGATCATTCTTAACCAAAATAAAAGTTTGACCATTACTTTACCTAGAGAAAAAAATCATGCTGGTGGTTTACAAGACATGGACAACTCAGGTCGAGTTTGTGAAATACCACCAGATAATGATAACTTGTTTAGACCTGTTCATGATGTCATGTATTATATGAAAAGACGGCCAACAAATACTGAATGTGAATTTTTTTTTTGAGGATTGAATCAAAAATAAATCTTGAAAACAGTAAATGGTTTAGAAAAGAAAAATTAGGAAAACATACTCATCAAAAATTATTAAAAGACATTTGTAATGATTGTGGTATCAATATCAGTAAAAGACATACAGTAAATCATTCTCTTAGGACAACTGGTATTATGCAATTATCCAAATTAGGAACTCCAACAGAACAAATCATGGCTTTTTCTGGACATTGCTCTTTAGCAGGCTTAAGTTCATATCAAGATATTACAAAAAAACAAAAGATTAATAATGTTTCATCACTGATTCCATCATCAATAACTAATCCACATATGGTTTTTAAGGAAAAATCTGGTAAATTAAATTGTTTTTCCATTTGATGTAACTTTATAAAGATTTTTTATTTAAATTGAAAATTTTTTTCAAACAATCAAGGTGAACCTTTAAAAGAAATCAATAATCACCCATCTATAAGGAAAACCTTAGGTTCAAAAATTAGTGAAAAAATAAATAATGATGTTTTAAAGAAGCCTTTCAAACTTCCAACCAAAAAAAAGTTGGGTAATGATGAGTTATTTATTGAAGAAAATTTAAATAATGATGATTCTATGCCAAATATCATCATAAAAGGTGATAATAACAGCATAAATGTCAATATAAATTATAACAATGCTTTGTAATAATGTGTTTATATATCCATCGATGCTGTATTGTATATTTTATAAATAAATGGCGATTCTATTTGACATTATGTGTGTAAAATTCATGTGCAACGTACTAATGTTAATACACAATATATTAAATAAATTTACTTTATGTATAAATTCATTATAACAAAAAAACCGGAATTTTTATTTTTTGAATTTATTACACGAAAATCCTGATTGGCGGCACATAGTGAAACGGGGAATTAATGACAGAATTTCCCGATTCTCCACAATTTAGGAAATTGCTTGAATTATCATGAGAAAAAATAATAAATAATTTTTCTTATATATTAATGCAACCAGTTGTGAAGTTTAGCAGTTATTTGTATCAATAAGGCTGGTCCTGGTACTCAATTTGCATACATAATCGTGTTTATTTTTACATGTTTATTTCTGGGATTTATTCCAATGTATTGTTATCGATGTTATTTCAACCTGAGCACTCTCTTTAGAAAATTCGATCATATCTCTATAATCATGTGACAAGACTTTCGAAATATAATTCACATCCTTATTATTGTGATTTACTTTATTATTACTGTTACTGTCATTGTATTGTTGTTGTATAACGTGATTGAATAAAATAATTTTATTATTGATCCCTGAAATCTTTGATAATACAAATGTTCAATGCCCCAATTATAAATTTCAATTTCAATTTTCAGGTTTAATATTAAATTGATTTATTATGAAAGAAAACTACAGTAAGTTGTATCATCAAATTATTTGATGTTAAAATATCAATACAATTTCAACATGAAAAAAAAGATTTGATAAAATTTTTTAAAGCAATGTTAATTTTAAAAGCTGCGATTCGTTTTGTTTTGGGGGCAGTATCAGAACATAGAAAATTTTGTCAATAGTCTCACGGGTATCGAAAATGAGATATATAGTAATTGTTGAAAAAGATTATGATGAAAACAAATGAATTATTTAAAATTTTTTTTTATTTTAATAAAAAAGTAATTAATTTTTAAGATTTTTGTTAATCATTTAGTTTATTCCTTTTCTTTTTTTTATAAAAAAACAGTGAGTCTCGATTTAGCGGGACCATTGATTTTTGCGGATAATAATATATTAATATTATAATTAATATAGTTTATTTGTATCACGGTGGCGTTGTGTTCTCACCTGACAATGATGAAAAGAAAAATAGCACGATTTCACAAAATTACAAATAAGCAAAACAATAGAATTGGCAAAAATCGCTCAAAAATAGGCAAATCAATAGAATTGGCAAAAATTGCTCAAAAATAAGATTTATTATTAATTACAACTTAAAAAGTTAAAATGGTAATCGAGCGATGTTTGCCATTAATAATGATTTCTAGAAATCTCTAGGCCAAAATTTTTATATAAATACGCACACTTTATTCCCACTCTTCAAAATCAAAAATTAAAAAAATATTCAAATAATAAATTTTTACAAACAAAAAAAACTTTTAAACAAATAAAATTCAAAATGACTAAAACTTGTGAAGGATGTAAATGTGGAACTAATTGTAAATGTGGAACTGATTGTAAATGCGAAAAAACAAAAGGTGCTTGTGGTGTAAGGTAAATAATAATAATTATAATAATTAATGAAATGAATATTTTCAATTTCTTTTTTTTCCAACCTTTTTTTTAATCTTGACCTTTAATTTGAACTTTTATTATTATTAGTGGCTGCACATGTGGTGAAAAATGTTCTTGCAGTCCTGGATCTTGTACATGTGCTAGCAATACTTGCAACTGCACTAAATAAATAAATAAACGATTTCAAATCGACAAAAAATTTTTTCTTAAATAATAATTTATTATTATTATATAAATATAAAATAAATTTTTTTGTATAAATTTTTTGTGTTAATTTTTTAACAAATAAATAAATAATAATAAATAGTATTTTTTTGACAATCTTTTTTTTATCAAGTTTCTATTAAAAATTTTTTTTTAAAATGTCAACCAAATCCAATTCTCCCGATTCTAATGATAATAAATATGATAGTAGTAATCAAATTGTTCTTTGGAAATACGATAATCCATACGCAAATTATAAATCTGATCTTGAACGTCTTTTTATAATTGGTGATTGCACTGGTTTGGATTATACTATTTGTCTCATTATTATTAATTACTATTACTTGCTTTGAATATTACAGTTAATTTAATTAATTTTGAAATTTCTATAAATTATTTGTAAATAGTAAAAATCACACAAAAATTATCAGAAAAAATTGATATTTCTCAAAATACTGGAAATGTAGTTTGGGATGGTGTAAATATCAATTGATTATGTAAATATTAATTAATTCTATAAACATTAATTGATTATACATGTACTTATCACTATCCAACTACTTATCTATTTAAACTTGTATATGATTTAGGCTTATATTTTGAGCAAATTCATAATAAATAATTTGAGTATGCATAATGATAAAGTTGATAATAAAGTTGATAATGGACGACAAATTAGTTTTATTGAACTAGGGTCTGGATGTGGACTCGTTGGCCTGTCTGCCTGGATATCTGGTAAAACATTAATTGTGGTGTGTAGTTGCGACTAATTTACAACTAATTAATTTATTATTTCTGATTGGATGAATGTATGAATGGATAAATCAGGTGGTAAAGTGATTTGTACAGATTTACCAGGTGAAAGTATCAATCACACAAAATTAAATATTCAGAAAAATGTTGCAAGAATATTGGATGAACAAGAAATTAATAAAAATAATGAGAAGATGATATTATTGAGAAAAGAAGATATCTCCACACATGAACTAGATTGGACAAATCTTCCAAATAATAACTCATCAAACATCAATAATTATGATAATAAATTAAAATCAAAGACTTTTGATATTATTCTGGCATCAGAAATATTTTATCTGCCAGAGTTACACGATTCTTTAATTAATACTATAAGATATTTTAGTCATAAAGATGATAGTAATGATGACGACAATAAGAATATGAATACTAATTGTTATTCAAATACACGACTTTTAGGAATCTATAAAGAACGTGGGTTAGGGGAAGAATTGTTTTTTGATAATGTTAAATCACTGGATGAACTCAAGATTGAATGGGTATTTTTTAATATTACTATAACGTAATATAATAATATTATTAATAATGATCATTATTTATTTATTAATAATGATTATTATATTGATTATTTTATTTTCATAGATTGATATGGATTTTTTAAAGCATGAATTTAATTCAAAAGCTTTGTTAGAATATAAAATGTTTTGGTTGACTATATCATCAAGTCACCGGCAAATAAATTAAATGCTTCAATCAATCAGTCGGTAACCCACGCACACACGTAATTCGTGAATTTTATCATGTGATTGTTATATGATCATCAGCCTTATATTTTTTAATTCTTTTCTCTTAAAAATCTATATTTTTTTTCAAAAAAAAAATTTAAAAAACCCTCAACGACATTAAAATGTCTCAACAAAATAAAGAAGAACGTGAACAATATAATAATGTCAATGACTTTTTGCCTTATATCGAACAAATCAAAGCTGAAAATGATTTTTTTTACAAAGAATTCTTGGAAGTTTTGAAAAGTTACAAAAGAAAAGAAATTAATATAGAAAATCTCCTTATTCATGCGAAACGTCTTTTTAAAGGATATCCAACTTTGCTTCAAAGATTTAACAACTTTTTAATTCCTGGTTATCGATTCGAATACTCGACTGATCCTCTTGATTTAGATCCAATTACTATCTTTACACCTAATGGAATTTTACCATCACCATCATCAGCTTCAATGCCAATGCAAATATCTCCTAATAATATTGACGAAGTTAATAAATACGACAATAATATCAACAGCAAATTTGAAAATGATTTGAAATCTCAAATGACTCCTTTACCTACAGGTTCTTAATCATTATCTCATTATTAAAAAAACCATGCCTAATATTAAATTATTAATATTGTTATTAACTTGACGCGTCTACTTTTCTATCAAAAACCCACACCGTATATTAATCTCAACTGTTTCAGAAAACTACAAGAATAGATTAGATGAAAATACTGCCACCACAAGCACCACAAACACTATCAATAAAGATGAAAATGTTTTAGAGGATTTACTTTATATTAGTAAATTTATTCAGAAATTTGGAGTATGTTTTCCTCGTAAAAAAAAAATTTAAATATATACATATTTTTTGCTAATTAAATTTTATTTTTTGTCTTTAGAATTTAATTCCTGGTAAACTTAATAAACTCAGAAATATATTGGAAACATTCATTATTAATGGTCAACAATTGACAAACGAGGCAAGAAGACAAATACATTGTCTGTTTAATTAATCGCTATTTATTTGATTATTAAATTAATTATGTGAAAAAATAGGTTTCTGTCGAAATCAAGGATCTTTTCAATAATAATATCACTCTTATAAACGAATTTAAACAAAAATGTTTACCAATTTATCTAAAATACTTGTCTTCAAACGAATTTCTAAATATAATTTTCAAAGGTATTGTCGGATTTTTTTATCTAAAGAATTATATTATAATCTAATATCTCAATTAATATATGTTTTGAAAATTCAGAATTTGATGACATCGCTGCTACTTTATCAAATTCTACTGCTGTTAATATATCGTCATCATCAAATCTTTCAAGAGTCGATGAAACCGACATCACTAATCCTACTAATTCCGTTAATAATAACGGAAAAAGGATTAATTGTCCTGACACTGATCAAAGTTTAAGTGAACTATTCAATAAGGTATTCGATTTTCCTATTATAATATAATGTCATAATTATAATGTGGTACTCAAGCATCATACTGTCACTTTTTTGTATTGGAATTTTATTCAGTACAAGAGATCAAAAATTTCTGAACAATCAATACCGGCATCAATATTTGGTCAATCATCAAACCTGTACGGGCAATTATTTTCTTCTTCTTCATCCTTATTCAGTGATGAACAACTACAATCATCATCATCTTTATCTCCATCTACATCGCCAACATATCCACCACCTAAAGAAAAAATTATTTGTGGCGGTGGGCAAAAAAAGATCCGACCAGAAAATGTCATAGTGGATGAATTTACGTTTTTTGAAAGTTGTAGAAGATTTCTTGCAAATGATGATGAGTATCGTCAATTTCTTTTAATACTCAATTTATACTCTCAGGGAATTATCAATGCTAGTGTACTTGTTCAACAAATCTCTATTTTTATTGGACGTAATGATAAATTGTTTAAATGGTTCAAGGATTATGTTAAATATCAGGTAAATGATGATAATGATAATGATAAAAATGATCAAGATAAGATTATGGGAAGAGTGATGAGGGAGAATGGCAAGGAAAAAGAAAAGAAAAAGGAAGAATATGATTACGATACAGTTGTAAATCACTCCTCTGCATCTGGGACAAGTTACAAGTATATACCAGAATCTGTAAGTTTAACAACAATTTATCTTTATAATAAATTATTTATCATTTCTAACAAATTATTTATCATTCTAACAAACAAATGCACCCATGCACATAATATATCCATGCATATATAAAAATAATTATAGAAAGGAAATGTACATTGTTCTGGAAGAGATGAATTATGTTATCAAGTTTTGAATGATGAATGGGTCTCATATTCAGGATTATTAAATGGTGAATATGATTTCAAATCAGCAAAAAATAATCAATATGAAACTGAATTGTATAAATGCGAGGATGAAAGGTATGTTATTTTTCATGTGCAATGTAGCTCAAGTTTTTTAATAATATTTATTTATAAACAATATATACTTTTTTCTTTGTTTATCACAGATACGAGTTTGACACTGTTATTGAAGACATTCAGCATACAATAGCAATGTTAGAACCAATTCTTAGGAAGATAAATAAAATGTCAGATGAAGATAAAAAAGAATATAAACTCAAGCCTGGACTTGATGGTCGTTGTAGATCATTGATCTATAAAAGAGCCATTAGAAGGATTTATGGATACGATAAAGGAGCCGAAGTTGTTGAGAAAATTCATAATGATCCTGTCAATGATATCCCAGTTGTTCTTAATCGACTTAAAGAAAAAGCCAAGGAATTAAAGCAAGAAAGAGTAATTAATTAATTAATTTAAAATTAAATAGTAATAATGTTATTAATATTTATTTTAATTTTTCTCCCTAAAAAATAGGTAAAACTAAATAAAGTTTGGAGTGATGTTGAATCAAAAAATTATTACAGGTCATTCGATCATAAAGGGCTATTTTCAAAAATGGTCGAGAAAAAAAATTTTACAACAAAACATTTCATCAATGAAATTGAAAATTTATTCAAAAAAAATCAAGATATTCTCCATAAAAACAACAAAAATCGCAATACTAATAATGTTGTTATCAGTGGAAATAATGCAGATGGCAACAAAATTGAGGAAGTTGATAATGATGATGATAATGATGATGATGATGATGATGATAATTTGGTTCAAGAATGTCAATTTCAATTCCAATTTGATGATGTTGATATATTTAAAGATATCGCTAGAGTTATATTTTTTTATCTTGGTCAGACAGGATCATTCGAGAAAAAAGATTCTAGAAAAATTCAAAAGTTTTTTAAAAAATTTTTAATTTATTTTTTTGATCTTCCATCAAGTTTTTTTGAGCAACCTAATAATAACAAAGGCATTATAAATACAAGTGGCGGAGATAAAACAATGCCGGCAGTAGGTTCAAATGAAAAAGGTGAAAATAATAGCGACGGTGATGGTTATTCTGACTCTGATAATGATGATGGGGATGATTCGGATAACATGGATATGGATGATGATAATATAGATTTGATGTTTAAAAAAGAAAATGGAATAATATCCCCTTCCATTTCATTAGCATCATCATCATCACCGCCATCGTTAGTTGGGACATCAGATAATAACGAAGTTTGGGCTAATGTATCAAAAGAAGTTAAAAAAAATATTAATGAAGTGACTAACAAAAAGAGTGAATTCAAAAAACAAGCAATGTCTCATTTTTTCTGTAATGATCGATTCTACTGCTTCTTTAGATACTTGCAGGTTAGTCTATGAAAATTTTTCGGTGTAAATTATTTGACTTTTAATTTATTAACAATTCGGGGGGGGGTTTAAGATTTTATTTGAACGTTTTAAAAAAATAAAAAGATTTTCTCAAGAAAAATTATCTAATAATCAAGGATTGTTTAAACTATATGCTGAAAATAGATGTAAACAACATATTTATTAATATCTAAAAACACACACACACATATATAATATATTTATTACTAATATCTTTTTTCAATATTGATTGTTCAGCTGAAATTAATATAAAAGATCCTTACTCTGATATGTTCAAACTTATTGAAAAAAGGATTAAATGTTCAATAGAAGCGTCAGATTTCGAGGAATCTCTTGTTAATATACTTGGTATTGATGCACATCTTATGTTCTCAGTAAAAAAAATTGTTCATTTTTTAACTCAAGAGGTAACATCTAATCTTTTTTTATATGATCATTTAATTATACAATATTTATGTTCATTATTATTATTATTATTTTTTATGATAGATTTACACGATAGTTAAAGATACCAAGTGTGAGAAATTACTTTATTTATATAAAACACATAATAAACAACAAACTAATAATTCATTAAAAGATGGTTCATATATGTTATACTTGTATCAATTACATGCTACTAATATCATTAATAAAGATGGCCATTTATATAGAATAAATTATGTAAGTAGATTTATTTTAGCTATTTGGTTACTAATGAAATTATTCATTTTATTAATTTTGTCTCTGGCATTTATTTATGTGGTGATTTTCAGGATAATTATAAAAAATCATTGCAAATAACCTTACTAAATTATGACTCTAATTCAAACATAAACACTTCACCAGAAGAACGATGGATAAGCTATATTTATAGTTATGTAACTTCTAACCCTACAAAAGGTGTCTATCAAAAAATATATGAACCATTTCTAAAAAGGTAAGTAAAAACTTATCATTTTTAATTTTTTATTAATTGTCATTTAACTTCAATTTTAAATTTTTTTGAAAACAATTTAGAAATATTGTATCAATTGATAAATCAGATATATTGGCGTGTAATGACGGATTGAAAATAAAAATTTGTATTGAAACATATAAAATATTTTACGAAAGTGGTACTGAAGATTTTTATAATCGGTATCGTTGTTTTCAACAATCTCAATCTAAGAATGATAATACTCAACAGCAACAACAAGAACAACAAGAACAACATAATAATAATAATAATGACAATAATATTTTTGAAAAAAAGAATTGTCATCAGGATGGTGGTGGTATCGATGTTTCGATGAAACGTAAATATTTCTGGAAAAACTGGTGTAAATTACATAATGTTTTTAAAGGTGGGGATCTTGATGATATACATGATTAATTTTATTTTTGATATTTTTACGAGATAGTAGCAATAATGGCGGCTACATAGTATTAAAATAAAAATTTTAAATTTAATAATTTTTTTAATAAAATAAAAATGCATCTCAGTTATTACTACGCATATATAACTTACAGTTCTTCGATTTTTAAATCAGGCCCCCAAAAAATCATAATTCAACAATTTTTATTGACATTAGTATTGATAAAATGTTGATCAAGACGCGAAAAAATAAGTTCGATTTTATTGGTTGTAAAATAAAATTTGGGCATTTATCAAAAATTAGAAAATATTATAGAAAAATTTGAACTTTTATTCCATCACTGTTTCGTTCTCATGCTACTGCTATCATCTCTGCTTTTAATATGCCATTTCTGTTTGGCACATTTATGTTTAAAAGTTAAAAAATGTTCTATTTGATGGATGATGATGATAAATACAATATGCCCATCCATCCAATTTATGCGAAGAATAATCCTATTGTTATTATTAAACCATTCTTGGACCTCAATCCATTAAATCGAGGTACACTAAATCGAGATTCACTTGTAATATATAAAAAATGATTCGAGTCGAATCAAGCAGATATCTTTCTTGAGTTTTATAATTGATTTTACTTTGAGCATTGAGATTTTTTATGTATTCGTCATATAAGTTCATTGCCTTCTTCAGATCGAGTTGCATGCCTATATATAGAAATTTGAATAAACATATTCGATTTATTGGCCTTCTTAAAACCTGCTTTTTTAAAATATTTAACATTTAACATCAATATCTAAAAATATTGGATGTACAATGTCATGTGTGTAAGTACCCTCTATCTATCCCTTTCCATCCGTTCTATAGAGAAAATTCTTCTTTTTCTAATATTCTGCTCGTGTTATGAAAGAAATTATTATAAGTTATTATAAGCTATTAATTGTTTTTTAATTTGAGAAAAGAAAATATTTACGATATTTGTGTACACTATTACCCCCTTCTCTCTACATTCTCAACGTTGATCAATTTTGGAACGATAACGCTATTTACGCCATTTATTATCAAAATAAATTAATATTCCATTAGTTGAAAACTCTTCAGATATTTATAATTGAACCAGTTCAAATACAATTATACAAAGTCCTCATGAGCCATAATTTTAATTTAAATATAAAAATTTCTTACTCTCCCCTTCTTCATCTGCCAACTCTAGTGACAAGATGTTCTCTTCTTTCAATTATTCAGCTCATTTCTATGTGTTATAAAAGAAATTATTAATATATTTAATATATATAATATTAAATATCATCTTGAATTATAAATTGTGTTAATTAATTACTTTTGTGCAAAGAGAAAGATTTTTGCCCACACATTGATCTGATTTGCCACCAATTTATTACTTACATATTATGTATTATTGTCATGATATGACGTTTCAATGTATGTAAGCATGAAACTAAAATATATTGGTAAGTCAGCCAACCTATATAAAGTCGCGATAAATTGTAAGTAAGGTTACTTGCCAAAACCTCTTAGTGACTGTCAAAACTCTGTCGAAACTCTAATGAACAATTAGTATATACCTTGCCAAAACTCTGACGATTGACAAAACCCCCAAATGCGAAACTCCGCCAAAACTCTAATTAACAATTAATGTGTAACCTGTCGAAACTCTTTCAATTGATTTTTGGAGGAGTTTCGCCCACAACCTTAGTTGTAAGTCAGCAAACCCTCTTTTTAGGATAAGTAAATTGTTCTCGATAAGTCAGCCTCGCGTGATACTTTCATTAAATAAAAGATCATCATTACTACTTTTAACGTATGATTTTTTTATTTATTTATAGAATTTTATATTAATATCATACATTATATCTGATGATTTAGAAATTCTCGTCACGATATTTTATTATTTCATTTTTGTATCATCAAGTTATATCATTGATTGTATAATTTATTGTCTGATAATTTAGAAAGAATATTCTTGTTTGTATACAGTGAATCTCGATCTAGCGGACCTCAATTTAGCGGATACTGATTAAAAATCTCAGTTTTACGGATAAAGTTCAAAGAACGGTTCCATAATAAACCTTAATAAAAACCTTATCGATATAGCGGATATCTCAGTTTAACGGAATTTTCCCTAATTGCCCAAACTATCCGCTAAATCGAGATTCACTGTGTATTGTGAAAAATACATTTATTTATTTTTATGTTTTATTATGTTCGAAATTTTGAAATTCTAATAAAAAGATTAATTAATATAAATAATTATTGTTTTTAAAAAACTATTTATTAGCAAATTGATCACGTGAAAGTCACGGGCGTGCATTTAGAGCCGTGCAGTGCAGAGTATGGAGGGTGTGCATTTATCTCTAACTCCAGAGGTTAGGAATGAGTCATAGCGTGCATTTATGAAGGGTGTGCATTTATAGAGGGTGCACTTACGGAGGGTTCACTTATGGAGGGTTCACCGTACTCTTTTAGCATACATCATGACATAAGTGTATTCGTTTATGAACTATGTGAGCTTCCATATTGAAGGGGCTTACTGCTTTGTTGAAAATGAGTCATAATGAAATGCCACCATATAAAATAATAGATTTTTTTGTTTGAAATTTGTGATGTAGTCGTCATTTTGAAAAATATTGGATGGTATCTGTCCTGCGTTTCTTTCTTATCATTTTGCTTAAATGAAACGATGTGACAAGGTAATATAATATATTAATGTATTCGTAAATGAGGCAGAGAAAATAATTTGATATTAAAAGAATTTTTTTTACGCAAATTTTTAAAATTGATTTTTTTTCATATTATTATTATAGCCTGTGACACAAAATTTTTTAGCCTTTTTATTAATGACATTAAAATAAAAAAAATTCTAAAATCAATTAGAATTCAAATTGGAATATGAGCATGCCCCCAGAAAAAAAAACTACATTTTGTGGTGTAATATGAATCACTTACAAAGTTTTCACATGAAGGATGTTGTTTATTATAATGATAAATTATCCAAATATCCTGCAGGCTTTTCAACCCATGCATGTCTTTTACCTTATTGATTCATTTAAGGGTAGGGGAAAACATGTAGTAAATTAATAGAATGAATGGCTCAAATTGAACCACCAAACTTATTGATTCAACTTTAATGCCCATTTAAAAGTGTAAAGTTGTCTAAAACCCATGCTGGTTTTTTTAAATAAAATGTTTATTATTACTCCCAAATATCTAGTTATATGCAGAATAATAAAATATTTACTCATTCTGTATGTGTTCTTAAATAGCTATATCAATGAATGATAGAAAATACTCATTTCACATTATAATTAGAAAATACTAGACATAGTAATATAATAAATTTAAACATTAAAATAGATACTTTATCCACCCAATTTATATAATTAACAATAAAAAGTTCCACCAATTGTTAATAATTTCATTCATAAAACTGATACTTCATGACCAAATTGTACAATGTTTTTCTCACAATGGGGTCAAGAACGTTTGCATAGATCATGTTAATGAGATCTCACCTGTCCTTTTTCAGTGTAGGCAAAGCGATGCGTGTGGATCACTCTGCAGTTTTGAAATTCATCACGTTTGAAGAAATACTCTCACTTGCCTCAATTTTTTTTATGAGCTAAAATCTATCAAATATTAAAGTTATCTATTGAATCCAAATGATAATATTTTTTAAATATCTAATTATTAGATCACATTAACATAGTAGCTTATTGGTTTAATTCATGTTAAATAAGGATTGATGAGGATATTAATAAAACATCTCTCAATAATCTCCAAAAAAATCAAACCAACCCTTATTAAAGTAAATTTAATTTCATTAGGTTTGATCATTCCTCATTTACATTATGAAAGCAGATCG